GCAAAAAGAAAGAAAACCCCTTTCTATCCGCGTCCGTACTTCGGGGCTTCCGCGGGATTTTTCCTCAGGGATACGGCAAGCCGCGCGGTACGGATATGAGCTTATCACATCTGTGATACGCAGGGGGTTCCGAAAAATTAGCAGTCTCCCGACTGCTGATGTCATCATATGTTGGATAATCGGGCGGCCTCTTCATCGTCAGGTGGCCCGATCATCTTCCTAATCTACGTGGATGCGTCCTGCATCCTCCATCGCCTCCTCCCATAGTATACATTCGATCGGGCGGCCCCTTCATCGTCAGCTGGCCCGATCGGTAAGTAATTTTTTTTATTTATTATTAATTTTTTTTTTTTTATATACAGCGCGTACCATCGCGCGAACTTTGGAGATAGGAGAAGAAGCCGATAAAGAGAAGGAGAAGGAGAGAACAGGGGAAAGGTAGATGGGGGTGATCAGAGGAAGTGATCTATGTCGGGATTGAGAGGGGGCGGAATAGGCGGAAGAAAAGCGGCCATTGCCGCAGGATTCGTCGGCGCATCATCCTCATGGAAGTGGTGCTGCACGAACGAGGGATAGAGGAAAGCCCCCTTCACATGAGACAGGACACGGGCCGCCAGATCTGCCACCGCTCGCACCACTCGTTTGCGCACCGATCAGGACCCCGGACCCGTCATCACCACATGAGTCTCGGTGTAAGGCCGTCGCTCCCGCTTCTGCGCCGCGAAGACAAGGAAGTGGTACATCGCATTGGGACGCTGCCCGGTCTCGTAGATGAGCGTCCCAGCCAATCGCGCCGCAATACACCCTTGAAAAGGGGGTGTCAGATATGGCTCCCAGGCCGGATCAGGGCGCGGCGCCCCCGCGATGGCCTCGAGCCTGATGGTGGCGGGCTCCACCATGAAGTCCACCTCCGTCGGATGGACCGTCCGGCTCGGAGGAACTACTAATGTCAATGACCGGGGCACCCCGGGGTGGCTGTCGGGAACGGAGAGGTCCCGTGAGGACGGGGGGTCTGGATATGGGATCCGGAAATCCCATTCGGCTTCCTCCTCCGGCTGCTTCTGATGATGATGGCCCAGCTCCATCAAGATTGAGATCGGGCACACGCGGAAAGGGCGGCGATGGCACGACTATCTCCTTAACGAGCGTCGCCGCACGCGCGGGCTGAATCACTTCCTCGCCGCCGTCGATCCTGCTGCCTTGCGCTCCTGGCGACGGGTGGTGTCTCTTCCTCTTCGGCGTCTTCTTAGGGGCCTTTGGTGGCGCTGGTCAAGAATACGACGAGGGAGGCCGCAACGGCCTTTCCTCGGGGAAGTCCTCCAACCTCTCCGCTCGCTGCGCAATGTAATCCGGGATGACGACCGCGTTGTACGTCCTCCGCAGGGCCGTTGCCGTCTGCAATCGTGGTTGGATCTCCTCCTCCTCGCTCGCGATCACTTGCGCAATGGAGAGGAGCTCAAGATGTATGAGCTCCAACAATCCCGAATCGATCGTCTGGAGCTGGGCGAAGGGGTACAGCGCCACCGTCCCTTCCTTCTCCGCTGGCTTGGGCCGTGTGATGACGTAGTAAACGACGAAGTGCTCCCCGATGCAGTGGTCTTCGTGATCCACGAAGAACCGGAACATCCCCAGCGCCACCGACTTGTACAGCGCACGGTGCAACTCCCACGCGTCTTCGTCGGCGAAGGGCAGCGGCTTCGAGAACTCGCGCATGGGATAAGGGCCCTCCATGAGCTGGTAGGGGAGGGTGGTGTAGGAGAAGAAGGGAGGCATTTAGTACGGGACAGGGGGAATAGCTTGGAAGTTGAGAGGAGCAACGGGAGGGAGAAGCGCGGGGAGCTGCGGCACCAACGCAATCGGTCCATCCTCTGCCCTACGCAGCAGCACTTCGTGGGCTGTGAATCGGTGTCCCCCCCGTCCTTGCAATCTGGCCACTGATCTGGCCGCTTCCACCGCGTATTCGCGCACAAAGCTGCGCGCCGGCTCCCGATTCGGCTGCGGTAGGATCGTCAAGTCTCCGATGAAGGTGGCGACGCTGTGCACGAAGTTGGGTGCCACCTGGAGCGCGCGAAACTCAATGAATACTCTGGTCGTCTCCCGGCCAGGCAACTGCGTCACGTCCACGTACACCCCCTCATACGTCAGTCGATCGCAAAGCAACGAGTACGCCGCCAAATCAGCAACCCCGGGCGCTGGCACGTTCACCTGCTGAATGTCGTACCGCAACTGCCTTTCCTCATTGAACCGATGCCGCAACAAGCGATCTGCAAGCGGCGTCTGGAAGTGCTCGAGGGGCTCATGCTCCGGCTGGCGATGGTTTATCCTGCTCCCTGAAACTCTTAGCACCAATGGACGAGGCAGATCGGGAAGAGGAGGAGGATGAAGAAGGAGAGGGTGATCTCGCAGGAGCGGGGGTCCGTAGGGGACCTAGCGATGGCTGGAAGGGCTGGAGCGCGGCAGCGTGCCGTGTCAGCGGTTGGGCCTGGGAGTTGTGACGGGGAGTCAGCTTCACGGAGTGCTGTCCCTGTGCGCCAACTTCCGTGACCTCGTAAATGCCTGTGTAGCGCGGGTGGATCTTGGAGGAGCGCGCAGATTTCCGTACCTGCACCAAGTCCCCAACTTTATAGTGGGGCAGTGGTCCCGCCGACGCGTGTCGATTCTCGTAGTCACGGATCTGCACGTTGATGTGTCCGATCTACGGCCTGCTGTCGACGGCGAGCTAACGGGGGATAGGCCCTAGCCATTAAGTCCATGTAGTGGCGGGCCTTATCTCGGTTCTGGGCCCGTGTTGCTCTAACTTTCGTACCTACTAAGGGGGACAATTGCACCCGAGGGACACTATTGGTTCTCAGTTGAAAGGGGGACACCCCAGTACTACCGTGTGGGGTAGCCCGATAAACGGCCAAGATGTGGTGGACAATGACCGGCCAGGGCCTGGTGTCTCCCGCAGTGATATTCCGTCTAAGGGCGGTCTTAATCAGTCGGTTGGCATTCTCTACCAGGCCATCTCAAGCCAATGGCCCGGCGAGTAGATAATCTTAACGTCCGCCCTGACTAGGTGACGTTCTACTTCGCCTTGAAATTCCGACCTATTGTCCATGTGTACCTCTTCTACGTCTAGATGCATGCACAAAAATCGATTTACGTACCAGGCTACCTCCTGCGAATTCCGGCTGGTCATAGGGTACGCCTCGATCCATTTTGAAAAATGATTGATGGCTACTAAAAGAACATTGAGTTCTCCTTGATCGACGGGACCTCTCGGAACGTTGATATCCGTCGTATCGATGCTAACGCTCTGAAAGGGGCGCTCTACACGAGTGGGCACCATCGTCCGAGGCATCTGTACCGGCGCCTTGTCCGCCGCGCAGGCTGGGCAATTTTGAACGATGTATTTCACATCTTCCTGAATTCCCGACCAGTACCATCCGTTCTTTTCTACGGCTTTTTTCGTGTACTTGACCACGAAATGGACCGCATCCTCTTCATGAGCGGCTCGTGTCCAATCGAACCTAGCGAGAGGGTGTGGAACCGTCAACCAGCTAGACCCTCCGTCATCATTGACTTTTCGTTTTTGTAACGTCGGTCCCTGCCAACGATAGTCCTGCGCCCGCTTCGTGACTCTCCGCCTCTCAGCTTTAGTAAGTTCTGACACCGAGTTGCCTGACAGCCTCCGTAGCAACAGAAGGTCCGCCCAGGCTTCTGCCCGACGGACACTTGGCGCAAATCCGTCGGCTGTTCTGGCGTCCAGATACCGCTTCTCGGTAGGGACTTGGTCCGTTCTACAGTTGGGACAGACCCATGTCTTTTCACTTCGGTAYCTAAYGCACTGTCCGTGAGATTTGACCGTATGACACCGACTACACTGTACCCATAAAAGAAAACTGGGCCCTCCCGGATGTGACCCTTCTTGGTCCGGGACCATAGGCAAAGTACAGAAGAAACAGGGACTTAGATGCATTTCAGGGGACGAGTAGGGACTAGACGAGAGAGCGAGGGAGTTGGATGAGGGCAAAGAGATCGCGTCTGCCATCTCCAGCGAAACCTCCATTCCGGACTCAGGCGTCGTTCTTGCGCAGCACGTGTAGCTCTCCGTAGTGCGGTTTCGTCGTCTCGACTTCTGGCCTCCACGGAATGAGTCGCTCGTTGGCGGGACACTTGTTGGGCGGCAGGAGGCGTGTTAATCCATCGGCGTTACCATGCTGTCGCGTGGCACAGTGGCGGATGTCGAAGTCATAGTCTTGCAGACGCACCGCCCACCTGCCCAGCGTCCCCGTGAAGTCCATGTTGTTGCGTAGGGATAGCACCGGCTGATGATCCGTTACCAGCAGGAATTTCTGGCCGTAAAGATACGGTCGGAAATGCAGGATCCCCCACACCACCGCCAAACATTCACCTTTGCACGCTTCGTAATTAGCCTGCACCTGGCTCAGCGTCNACTGTACCCATAAAAGAAAACTGGGCCCTCCCGGATGTGACCCTTCTTGGTCCGGGACCATAGGCAAAGTACAGAAGAAACAGGGACTTAGATGCGTTTCAGGGGACGAGTAGGGACTAGACGAGAGAGCGAGGGAGTTGGATGAGGGCAAAGAGATCGCGTCTGCCATCTCCGGTGAAACCTCCATTCCGGACTCAGGCGTCGTTCTTGCGCAGCACGTGTAGCTCCCTGTAGTGCGTTTTCGTCGCCGCGACTTCTGGCCTCCACGGAATGAGTCGCTCGTTGGCGGGACACTTGTTGGGCGGCAGGAGGCGCGTCAATCCATCGGCGTTACCATGCTGCCGCGTGGCACGGTGGCGAATGTCGAAGTCATAGTCTTGCAGACGCACCGCCCACCTGCCCAGCGTCCCCGTGTAGTCCGTGTTGTTGCGTAGGGACAGCAGTGGCTGATGATCCGTTACCAGCACGAATTTCTGGCCGTAAAGATACGGTCGGAAATGCTGGATCCCCCACACCACCGCCAGGCATTCACCTTTGCACGCTTCGTAATTAGCCTGCGCCTGGCTCAGCGTCTTGGACGCATACTCAATGACGTGCTCCCTTCCGTCCTTCCCGTGCCGAGTCAGCACCGCTGATATCGCCTGAGGCTGCCAGTCTGTGTACAGTGCGAACGGTCTTGTTGGGTCGAGGCGCGCCAACACAGGAGCAGATGTCAGAGCCTCCTTCAACGCCTGAAACGCCGCTTCGCATTCCGGCGTCCAGATCAGCTGTTCCTCTTTCTTCAGCAGGTTCGTGAGGGGCTTCGCTATACCGACGAACCCCTTGATGAAGCGTCGGTAATAGGATGCCAGCCCTAGAAAAGCCCGAACCTGGGTGAGTGTGACCGGCGCCGGGGCTTCTTGAACTGCTGCCACCTTCCTCGGATCCGGTTTCAGTCCATCGACCGTGACGATGTACCCCAAGAATGAGATCTGCGACAAGAAGAACTCGCTTTTCTCCAAGGCCACTTTGAACCGCGCATCCTTTAGTGCATGCAAAAACCCACTCAATGTGTTCCACGTGGTACTTGTGTTTTTTTGAAAAGACCAAAATATCATCCATGTACACAATCACGCAGAAATTGATCAGGGGCTGGTTCAGTCGGGTTTTGTTAACGAACTCAGCGAAGGCCATATTCATGGCCCGCTGAAACGTTGCGGGGGCGTTACAAATTCCCATGGGACACCGGACTCATTGCCACGTGCCTTCAAATAGGACAAAAGCGGCTTTGGGTTGGTCCTCCGGTCGGACTGCGACATGGTGAAAACCGTGTCGGATATCGAACTTGGAGAAGACTCGAGCGGCCTCGACAGCATCTAACAAATCGTCGATTCGCAGCAAGGGATACACATCTTTGGTAGTGATAGCGTTCAATTTCCGGTAGTCGATACATACCCAGATCGAACCATTTCGTTTTGGCACGAGGACCACGGGAAAAGACCACGGTCCCAGCGATGGTTCGACCCACCCCAACCGCTCGAATTCTCGTACCCTTTTCAACGCCAGCTGTCTTTCTTTAAGGGAATATCGGTACGGTCGGCAATGTATCGGGGTGTGATCCCCGGTATCAATTGCGTGCTGTATCAAAGGGGTTAGCCCTATGTCGTGGTCCTGAATACTGACGGCCTCAGGATAGGCCTGTATAACTGCCAGAAATTCGTGCGGCGTCGGTATTCATCCGGAACACGGGCTGGTAACTGAACTTCTACGGTTCCACCAGGAAGGGAGACCGTCGTCGTAACCGTGGGGACCGCCGCGTTGGCATCGGGCGAGGCCCCAAACAAAGAGTTGTCGGTTTTCGCCGAAAGGACAGTCGCAATAAGTTGACTGTCCGCCGGGCTCATCGGCTCGCTTTCCATGTCACTGTCACTATCCAGTTCGGGTTCGGCCGAGGGTTCTACCGAAAAGGCCTGCGTCAGTTCCCTCGGTCCCCACCGATATTCCCTTGTTC